GGGGGGGTTAAGTGCATGGCGTGCCTGCAGCTGTTGGGGGAGCGGGTGGCTGCCTCAGTGTGCCAGCCCAGAAAACGGGCCGATTCAGCCCCCCTCCTTGCATTTGGGGGGGCTGCTCAGGCAACACAACACACCTCGGTTAACGTGGGGGGGGGTTAAGTGCATGGCGTGCCTGCAGCTGTTGGGGGAGCGGGTGCAGGCGTCAGTGTGCCACCCTAGAAAATTGGCTACTTCCCTTGGCACGCTCACCGGCCCGCCTGCCCAGAGCAGGGCTCCTCAACCTTAGCCGCTTGAAGATGGGTGGGCTTCAACTCCCAGCAAGGCTGGCTGGGGCATTCTGGGGGTTGAAGTCCACCCACCTCCGAGTGGCCGAGGTTGCGAAGCAGTGGCCCGGAGGAAATGTGCCACTCTCCTTCCCTCTTGCCCCGCAGGCCGCCCCGGGGGAAGGATGGAGGAGCTGAGCCGGGCTCTGGCCTGCAACTTTGCCGTCTCGCAGGACCTGAACAGCCCCGCGGCGCCCCACCCGCGCCTGGCCCAGTACAAGTCCAAGTACAGCTCCCTGGAGCAGGGCGAGCGGAGGCGGCGGCTGCTGGAGCTGCAGAGGACGTAAGTGCGCGGCGGGCGCCTCCCCCGGGGCGTCTCGAGATCCGTCCTGCGCGGTCTGGAACAGAGAACGGGCCGTCCCGGCTTGCTTTTTCCTCCTCCGAGCAGCCTGTATTCCTCTTCCTTTCTTTCCTTTTACTGTTGACTTCCTTTTCTAAAGCATCCTTATTTTTATCGCATTTATTACAGCTGCCCATAATGAGACTCGGGACAGCTAACAGTGTCCAGATATGAAATCATAAACAGCTTTTTAAGCACAAACTTAAACAGATGTGCTCGCCCATGGCCGACGCTTGCTGCGGGGGGGGCATATTTTCAGTCGATCTGTTTTTCGAGGGTTGACACCGATGAAAACTCCTGGGTTTAAAAAACGATAATCTCCTGGCAACAACATGATTGGAAAGTAGGGACCAGGGTTCCTTCTGCAGAGAAACCAGGGTGAATTGCCGTTCCCGACCAATAAGGTGTTGCCGAGCTTTCTGTTGCCAAACGTTGAGGAGCTGAGGTTGCTGAGTGTGAGAAACGGCCTGATGGCCTGATTCATCCTACTCGGCCCCTTCTCCACCTCTGAGAAAACCCATTGCTGCGTTCAGAGATTATTTCCTACCATTCTCTGCAGCTGATAAAATGCAAAGCCTCACTGCATTCTTCAAAGACCGAGAATTCGTCAGCTGCCCGTTTGAAAAGGGCTCCTTCCCCAGCTAATAAGGCGGCCTTGGATACTAAATACAGAACATGATAGTTTGTTCATTCATTCAGGCTTTCCAAGGTCGGGGTTCAAAATCGCTAATCTACTTTTTATTCCGTTTTCTTTTTTTCCCCTATTTACAGCCGTGCTTCAAGACAGGAGGGAGGGCGGGTGGGAGCTTGGCTTGATCTAGTAGGACCCTCCATTTTTAAAGCCTTGAGACAGAACGGTTTCCAAAACGCCCATCTATTGCTCATCCGAGAGCAGTAATTATTCAAGCAAGGTAGAGAATTAAGGCAATTAAAGTTGCCTTTGCAGGTAACTTCTAAATCGCAAGCTCGTCTTCCTATTGTCCCTTTGAGGTGTGTCTTCCTACGTAGGGTTAAATTTTATTATTTTGTGTGTGTGTGTGTGTGTGTGTCAAGGAAGCGACTGGATTATATAAACCATGCTAGAAGGCTGGCAGAGGATGACTGGAAGTACACGGAGGAGGAGGAGGAGGA